ACCGGTCAGATCATTTATTTTAAAAAGCTCCTCTAACGAAAATAGTGAGATTAAATCAATTCATCTGCTCAGATTACGAGTGAGAATTACGTGTATCATGGGTACAAGAGAAAAACTTGTTGCAGACTTTTCTCGTCTAATCCACTTACTCTTTCGAGACAACAAAGTTGGACAAGAATGAGCAAAGAAGTAACGATACTCCGTGGTAATTTCACGGACTAATCAAAAGTGTTGTTCAAGAAGTCATCCCGAGTACATGTAATAGAGTAGACGCAACAAGTATTCCCTCATCTCGCATAGATATTATTCCGCTTTGAAGACAGGACGAGAAAATTACGGAATTATCGGTTAATTTTTAATCTTGTCTAAGTTACAAATTATGAATGTTCACACAAAAATTAATATATCTTGATACTATCTTATTTTAGTAATCCACAAATTTAAATGTTGATTGCGATTAATATTTGGAAATAAATATACATAAAGGATGGAACATATAAATTATAAAGCTTAAAATATACAATATACAAACGCACATTAAGATGGTTCTTTAGTAAAATGCCGAAAATTTGGGATGTCTCACCAGGGCCCATCTAAAATTACAATATCATAATTTGGATAAAATATTAAAATTACGTATATCTTAATGAAATAGTATGGAATATATGATAGTAATCAAGAGCATCTTCATCAAATGAGAATAAGATGAGATTATGTTTCTACCAAAAATCTTTAAAATTTTGTAAAAATTTTTTTAAGTATGATGATATTATGACAAGTGAAGTTGAATCAATGGACGTCAAGATCAGTATATAATTATGATCACTATAGGCTTATACATAAATATAATAATTTATGTACGTTTAACATACCTAAGTTTTGTATATTCACTGAAAGACCATTGGAAAAAAGGTCGAAACGTGAACATTGTTATATGAAATGTAATAAATATTTTATACATTAATATTTTATAATTATAGCATACATTATCTGTTAGGCTCTTATAATAGCCCTTATTGTATATTAATTGAATTTTATTCACATTGAGTCGTAACTCATATTATTCTTAATTGTTAGATTATGTTTACTTTTCAAGGTTAAATTTATATGTTTATACACGTAAGTTTATACACGTAAATATCTTTCCAGAATGGCCGTTGACTTATTACTTTTTTGTAACCATTAAAATTGTAATTTTTTTAAACTATTATAATCTCGTTTTTCAGAGAAAAATATGATAAGATTTGTGTGCAATTAATCAAAGAAACGAGCCTTATCTATCACCATGATGCAAGCAGAATGGTGTGCTCGTAAAACTAAGCCAAGTTTGCGCAACGTACTGACCTTATTTTCCGCCATTCTATAACATATATATTCGCACGGTTGTCATATGATTCGAAATGATTAAAAAATATATTAAATAAAATATTAAATAAAAAATAATAAATAATGGTAAAAAAATTAATAAATAAGTAATTATTTACTATAAATAAGTGATTATTTACTATGTGTGAAACTAAGTTTTACTGTCATAGCAGGTATATATTAAAACAAAATCCGCCGAAAAATCGCGAAAAAAAGTCAAGCTTTGGTTGGTTGCAGCAGATAAACATGCACAAGAAACACACACCATGTCTACTTGCATCATGTTAACTTGCATCATGATCACAGTTAAGTTATATGAAAAATACATACATAGAAACATACATAGAAGAGCCATAGGTAACTGCAGTCATAGTGGAATTAAACAAAGTGCTGTATTCCCGCAGTAGTCAAAATAATGGCGTCCCTATTTGCGACTAACATGAATGTAACATTTGATGATTCGATTTTATATTTTCGAGTTTTTATATATTATTATTTAGTTTTTATTAGTTTTTATTTTATTTGTAATAGTTTTTATATATACGATTATTTTTATTTATTTTTTATGAAAGTCGTGCTAGCATTTAAGAGCGATTTTTTATTGATCGTGCCGTCATATTTATGTGCAATACAATACCTTGTCTAATTCCACCATGACTGCAGTGATGATGCACATTTGGCCCCGGACTACCCGGACATCTCAGAGAATCAGCCCTCCCTATTTTTGATATATCAATTGTCGCTTTCTACTAGCCAAACGCGATGTTAATTGGTGGAGCAAAAATGCAGGAGTTGATTTTCTGAGATGCCAAATGAAATTACTGTCGATGGCTCCAACATCTATCTGTTCTTTTCTGATTGCTTCACCATAATGCGCATGCGTCGATTATTATTATATAATGTTAAGAGTGTTGTACTCTGTCTCGCCTTAAAACATACATATATATACATATATGTACATACATATATGCGTTCATAGTTCGCATATAAATCACGCACAAGCGCGCAGTAAACAAGTTTTCAGACAAGAACAGATAGATATTGGAGATACTTTTATTACATTGATCAGATCAAAGAGAATTAGAATATCCTCTTTGGGTCAGATACGGTATAGCTCTTCCAGTATATATGTTCTAAGATGTGAAAGGTTACATTTTCAACATTTTTTTCTCTCTTATTTCATCATTACCGTAGAATTTTGTACATGCCAATTTCGTATTTACGTACTTCAACTTCATTATATAAAATGTTTCTATGGTAATTCAATTTATTAAAGAACCATCTTAATATCTTCAGAATTAAAACTGAAGCGCGTAATAAAAAAAAAGTATCGCGCGCATCTAATATACAGTAGAATATACAATTTTTTTAATTATGTGGAAAAATCCATAAAATTTCTTTTCTATTAATGAAATATCATTGAAGCACTCAAGTATTCTTTTTAATTTGTTGAACCATTAAAGCACATTCAAGTATTCTTTTTAATTTGTTGAAATTTATTTAAATTTATATTTAACAAATTAAATCTAAATTCATTTGTCCATATACATTTTGTTTTTTTTTTATTACTTTCATTTAATTTTAAAAATATTTAAAAAATTTTGTAAATCAGATGATAAATTTATACAATATAATAACTCTTATACAATATAACTCACATTACAAAATATTATTTACCATTTGATACATTTATAATCGTCTTTTTTTATCGATGAAAAAAGGTCTTTCTAGCATTTATTCCTTCGAGTCATTTAAAGTTCGAAATGGGTTAAATTACTTAAACTTTAAGAAGATAAATAGTAACGGTAGATATTAGGAAAACAAATCTTCATCTCTCCTACGTATGAATTTTTGTGTAAACAAATTGATAGTGCGCTCTCTGAAAATAGTTTACTCAAAACTTAACATTTCTCATCAGCGAAACATAATTAGACGCGCTTTCTTGAATGCTTCCTTGAATATTGGCAAAGGTCGAAGGCTACGTATATTTGTGATCAATCAACCGCATGATTCCGACTATATTACGCAGGTAGATTCGATATAATTAATTCTAATTAAGTGAATATCGGTCAATATTGTTCTTAGATGCAACGTATCACTCAGAAAATTTATGCAAAAAAAATTTATACGTATAAGTCCCTATCCTAGTTAATCAATCTCATTAGTACTTTCTACGCGAGAATACATCATTACTGTCACGGGAATAGAATTATCACTAACAAAATATTGATATTTGTAGTAAATGGAGTGTTATTACTTCGCTTTCCTGGAATTCATATGAATTACTTTATTAATTCGTAAATTTAATCTAAAATATCTTATACACACGCAGTTTGTGCAAATAATTGCGAAATATTTTGCAGATTACGTACGTTTGCAATCAACCAATTATATATTTCCGACTATATAAATTTCTATTGATAAGAACAAATTTTAAGAAAAATTAAAACTTAGAAAAATTAAAATATTAAAAAAAATTAGCAAATAACATTGATGTAATTACTATATTTAATTATATTTTCAAGAATGAATATTTTCAAGAACTGAAAATTCATTTTTACGTAAAAATGAAAACAATAAATAAGAAATAATCTCCAATGATCTTAATCTTAACGAATGTTATTTAGGACAACATTTAAGAGATTTTAACCGTCAGTCGGACATCTTGCCGGCGATACTGTAACTTTCAAGTTATATAACTCAAAAAGTACTTTATGAAAAATAACTTTATTTTAATGTTTTGAAAAGCTCTTGACACCAACTATTAAATTCTGGAATCAAAAATAGGGTATTCCATTTAAAAAAATCGATGTGACCTTGATTTTGGCAATGTTACTCAAAATCAAACTAATAAGATCAGTAATTAAATCGATCTTTTTAAACCCTACAACTTTTGTCTAAACATTTTTTTGTAAAACTTATATCTGAGATATTCATGTCTTGACCTTTTTGGGACATCCTGCATACGTGATGAGATCTGGGAATAATGATTCATATATGTTGGAATAATATATCGATTGTGTTCCAAAATTTACTGCTAGTACTGAAAATTTATAGTGCACGTAACGTGAATTTTTCAGTACTGGCAGTAAATTTTGGAACACAACCATCATATCTATACTCTATTATTCTAGTCCGTATCTCATCATTTATCAGAAGTATCAGAATAATGACTAATTTAAAAATTGTCATTTTTAATTGTTTACATTAATTAAGAATTAATAAATAATTAAGAAGGGACCCTTCTTTATTCTTTATTTTGACAGAGCAATAACTGAGTCGTTAAAATCTCATCATACGAAAACAATTATATTAATATTGTATTATAAATAGCATTCTGTCAATTGTTTTGCTTAAAAGTGTCTCATCTCAATTGTTATTGAGTAGTTCTAGAAAGAAAAGGCATAATAGATTTTTATAATCAGTTGTTATAAATAAATTTGCATTAAAAAAAATAATATTACAAAGCATACACATATACAGTTTAATAATTAAAAACATTCAAACGCAATATTCAAAGTTTTCTGGAAAATCTGATTTTTTTTAGTTATGTCATTGTTTCGCCAAATGTGCGACATATATGCGTGAAAGGATTAACTATACTTAATTTCGTAAGCGGGGCTAAAGATACTCACCCTTCGCACGTGATGATACCGTAGTGCAAGCCGGTCGCCTTGTCCTCACAGATCATGCATATCATAGGCGTTTCGTCTTCTTCGTTCTCCTGAGGCGGTAAAGGAGGCGCAGGCGGTGCCACCGATATGGATTGTGAGGCCGCCTCAGATTTGACAACAGTACCGCCGTTGCTAACCCACGGTTGCGCGACGGAACCGGACGCCGTGAGATTCAGCGCTTGCATCTGTTGCGCGGCCGGCAGCTGCGTCAGATCGCCAGCCCACAGCCTCTCCATGTTGAGCGGCGGTCCGACAGCGGATGAGTACGTGACCGCGGGAGACGAGGGTGGTTTACCCCTGGATTCCTGGCCAAGATTCAGCAATAGCTGGGCAGCCGACTCCTCCGACGAAGAGCACGAGGCGGTCGCTGCCGCTGTAGCAGACCAAGATGCTGCTGGCGGCGGTACCGGATCCAATGGCGGCGCTGACCATATCATCGTACGGACGCCGCCGATCTCACCCATTAACACCGTGGGCGGGGGCCGCGGTGGTACTGGCGCTGCTCTCTGCGCCGGTGGTTTCATACCTTCACCTGAAATAAATCATCAATGATCGATTGTTACAATGTTTGTACAATTTGTACAATGCCTGAATAATCTATTTATATAATTGTTGCATCTTTAAGGGAGTATTCTAGTCTAGCAAGTAAAAAAATCAATTTTTTTTACATATTTTGCAAGTATTTGGTATAGAAAATATATCTGCAAAAGGAATTAGCTCGATTCGCAAAATTAACAAAGTTATACATAGCACCTGATAGGGAGCGGTCTTCGGCTCGTTTTCGACGTTCGGACACACAATAAAGCATTATTAATCGACATTTTTATTTCGACTAAGGTCAGAAAATCGTTATTCTTAGAAGGTTGTGTATATTTGGAGTGGAATCTTTCTAAAGCTGCATTTTCATGCTGATTTCAATGTTCGACGCTCGATTTGAACAAACTAGTCACATGATCAAAATTGACGAATACTAAGCATCAATTTTGATCACATAATCTGAAAATGACGCTGAAAATGAGCATTAGCTTAAGAGATATAAATAAAAGTTCTATAATATACAGAGGATAACATTTGCATAAGCAACTTCCACCCCACTGTTCTGAATCTTCTCTGCTTAGGAGCACTACTTCCACGCGAAGCGACTCCCATTTCCCCCTGTCAAGGAATGCACGACTGGCACGACTCTCCAAGATTGATGATATTTATTTGGAAATCACACGCTTCGAAACAGGAGGGAAAATGGAGTGAAAGTCGCTTCGTGTGGAAGTCGAGCGCCCCGAAGCAAGGGGAAAGATAGGAGAAGTAGGGATTCTTGTGGGGAATTACTAAGGACACTTTTTCCCTACAATATATCTTAAAATCGGTGAGGTATCACCTTAACCAAAAACGGATATTTACGTATTTTTTATCAAAGTCAAAAAGTAATTGTGATTTAAACTAAATTCTATATTCTTTGGATATTCTTTGGATTTTCATAACTAACACTAATTGTAGATGTAATAATTTCCATTGGACATAAATGACGAATCGAGGAGGAAATTTATATTAAATACTTCTTTGTTAGAAGTTCTTTTATTATAAATATTATTGCATGTTATTTAAAAATGATATTTAGTAATTATATATAACGATTCCTCACGACATGGCCGATTCAAAATAGTGATTAGATATGAAAGAATAAATCGTTAAATAAATTTAATGTGAGAAGTGCTTGATTTAATAAAAAATGCAGAACTTACACGAGGTTGCCGTGATGGTAGCGCCGGTAGTGACACAGCTGACATTGGTACCGCTAGAACTGGTGGAGACAGTTGTTGCATTCTGCCCACCGTAACTAACAGCACTGCTAATGACACCGTTGAGTAGCCTCTGCGTAGCGAATCCCTGTACGCTAGTAGTGTTCTGAGACCAAAATTGATGATGAGCCACTAACAGATGCGGTGGTACCGGAGGTGCGCGTGATCTTGGTGGCGCCGGTGGTGAATGTTGTTGTTGCAAGGATCCGTGTGGTCTGGCTGAACCAACTGCGCCGGGACTAATGTTTAGGTTCAAGTTGAATTGAGATGACGGGCTATTCCGGTGACTAGGTTGGTTGGAGGCTTCCGAACGACCACCGACACCACTGCCACCGCCACTACTACCGCCCCCACCTCCGTCGAAAACCGAATTGTCGGATTCTTCCTTGGTCTGGACGGACGATAGGTCGCCCTTTAAGTCCGGACTGTCACTCCTCGACGAGGCATCTTGGGCAATCGGAGTCGATGAGACCGCTGGAATTGGCGAATACGGCGACGTTTTGATCTGTACGGGGGTGATGGAGCGTTGTTGTTGTTGCTGATGCTGCTGCTGTGAGTGCTGATGATGTTGCTGCTCGTCGGAGACCCTGAAGCTCATCAGCGGACCGGCATCCGGGAAGACCGAGTCAGGCGACGCACGATCCGAGCATCCCGCGTCGCGACCCTCTTGACCGTTTCCTCTTCCACCTCCGCCATCACTGCTGCCGATACCACGAAGAGAATCTCCTCGTGGTGGCCCTGGACTCGGGCTGCCCAGCAGGTTATACTCGCTCGTCACTCTGATCTGGCAGCCTGGCGAGCTCGGCATGTTCGTTTCCGGCGACAGAGTTGAAGTATCGGCCATGCTCTCCCCTGGAGCAGGAAAGTTTATGGGTGAAGGTGCGTCCGTCGTCGGGTTTCCCTGCGGCGAGCCTGCTGATCCGAGGGATACCGGGGAGTCTGAGAAATAAGTTGGTCTCATATTTATACTCGGACTGCGGACAGTCTGTAATGCGACGGGATGTTTTTTCCTTTTTTCTTTACCTTCGGAAGCACGATTGAATATAATAGTGCAGGAATATGAAATCGTTATTCACACGCACATTATTTCATAATGAACTTGAATGCACAGAGGAATGGAAACGAGAAAGGAATCGGCAAATTGGAGAATTGGAGCAAATTAATGACGTCCACCAATTTTTTTAATTGGTGGAGCAAGCCGATGCTCAGAGGAAGGTGAGATAATAAGCTATGATGGAGCATAACATATTGCATCTTCTTATGATATTTGATTTGATTATTTCTTCCTTGATATTTGATTTTCGAATTAACATTCCAGTGATATTCCAAGTTAAATAGTGAATAAGTTTAATGTGCGATATAATAATTCAATTGTTATTACAATAATTTAAAAATCCAATTCTATTTAATATCAACTTGGAAACATAATATATAAACTTTATATAAAAATTAAATTGCATTATCTAAAGATTAAATAAGAAGGTTTGCACACAAGAATTAGTCAATCAACAATTTTTAAAAATTTTCATTTCTGAATTCTTGATTAACTTTTAGGGCACATCTTACGATTCCTGTTACGGAAAGTGTGTGCGAGTCCGCTAACATTTTAGAGATATAATTTGTTTATATATGATATTCCTTTACGTGAAAATTTCAAAAGAATATTACTAGATTAAAGCATATGCTTTAAATCTTTACAAATTTCAAATGTTTTTTTCTTTGTACTTCATTCTAAAATTCTAAGATTAACTGTTTGAATTCAGCATTGCGATATTATACACTACTCAACAAAAAATAGAAAATACTTTCGAACATGCTCAAAATGCAACATTCAAAACACTGTAACTCGATGGAAAATCATCGTAGATAAAAAATCAAAAAAGCATTTGGAGTTTAAAATCTTTATTTTTAAAATTTGATAATTGATATTTTAATCTAATTTATCCTTTATTATGCGGATTTCTAAATGCATATCCGTCAAATCCAAAATTTTTACAAAGACCTATGGTGTGAAGTAAAAAATCATAAAATTACAATTTATAGCAATCGAAAAGAGTAAATCTTTATCTTTAATTTGCTTTTTATTGAACGTTGCACGATTTTTTTTCGAGTTATTGAACGTTGAAACAAAAATGATCACATTGTTTTTGCTTTTGTAAATAAAAAAATTAAATAAAAAATTAATTATCGTGATTTCATTTATAAAACAATTTAATGAAACCGCCGTTATGAATGGCATCAATGATGGATTTAAAACTCATTTTAATTATTATGTTAGTCTCGATAGGCAACCACTCTTTATGCAATCCTATATTCAATAGCATTGTGTATACATAAGGTATTTCACCTTCCTTCTCCATAAAAAATAGCGCTTCTCGTGATAGATTCCAATATGAGATATTCTTGTAAATCAAGCACTTACAATAATATGAGATAATATTGTTAATTTACTAAAAAATTTTTTTACGCGTTTCGTATATAAAATAAGCCGATATGTATTTTGACAATATATTTTCGAAAATATGAAAGTTTTTAGAAACTCGCTATTTATGCACTTCTTAAAATCTACTTCTATTCTATTTCTATACTCTCTACTTCTATATTATACTACTCAACAAAAAATAGAAAATACTTTCGAACATGCTCAAAATGCAACATTCAAAACATTGTAACTCGATGGAAAATCATCGTAAATAAAAAATCAAAAAAGCACTTGGAGTTTAAAATCTTTATTTTTAAAATTTGATAATTGATATTTTAATCTGATTGATCCTTTATTATACGGAGTCAAATTGTGCTCATTTTAAATATATAAGAATTATCTACATTTACGTATTCATTATTACTATAATTGTTGTTAAATTGTTGTTAAATGATTATTATAAACAATTAAAATATTTAGTCATTTTATTGCTCAAGGTCACCAAAATAAAAATTTAAATAAAATATCATCGTCCTCATTAAATTTTCTATAAAAATCATATTTTTTTAGAATGGTTATTTGATATAATATTATGTGTGGAAGAAAATAATTTCCGCGGCGGGCGGTCGAGCGCTGGTCTGAGTCCGCTTCATCGCCATTGTACTGCATCCGTCAGTAAGTGTGCGAGAGAAATTTAATTTTTCATGGTCCTTCTAGATCAAAATGACCTAAGCATCATCTTTCACGCTAGATTTCAGAATCAAAGTGACGCGTACCTGCCATCGAGATTTGAAGCTTCAACTATATACTATAGATAGAGATGCTTAGTTTTTTAGTTGGACTGTTAGTATGCATCTAGCAGCTATTCGCATCAAAAGCGTTTTTTTTTTCGGATCAAAGTGTTTACAAGTGTGATCAGCATGTCGTTTTCATTTAAAAAAATTTATGATTTATTAATATATTTTTGCATTAAATTAATATATTTTTATTAATATTAGGTGTACAACTTTGCTTCCGCCGTTTTCCTATAGATGGCTTTAGCGGTAAGTAGTGGTCGAAATAAATAGATCATAGACGTACAATAAACTTGGGCATCTGTAAACATAACCCCATAGAAACATTAGTCGATTTGTGTCTGCATCATAAAGTTATTCTCGATTGAAAATGTCAGTTTACGAGCCAAATTCTCGTCATTTGCGGGAGGTTTTAATTTTTTGCTTCAATATGAAAAAATCTGCGGCTGAGGCTCATCGAATGCTCTCA